CAGCCGTAAGTCTCTTAAATGACTAATGCCGGGTTTCTGAAGTTTCCAACTATTTTGTCATTACCTAGAGATTCATTAGTGTTAGATCGATATTTCAACGGAGTAAAACTCATGCTGCATAAAAGTTGCTAGGAAACCGGCCATAAGTACGGCAGAACCCAACATAGATGTCTGCTTCATTGTGAACTCGCCCTAATTCTAACAAGAGAGAGCAAACATTGAGTTCATGACCTCCGTACTGTACGTCACTTGCCTTATACAGGATGTTTTTTTTAACAATATACAGGTTGCTCTCTGTTATAATAATATAGGCATACATACAGATGCCCGTGTATTTTTTACGTAGTAATTTTAGTATAAATATACCTTTCTTAAATTAACTTATTATTAAAATAACTGGAATGTTTTGATCAAAAAAACATAGTTTTCATTACGAAGGAAAAAACTATTGAAAATTTTAATACTTGTTTATTTTTTTATTTGCTTAGAATTCGTAATAAACAAACACACTACAACAAACCATTGAAATAAATAAATATTTGCCATAATTTAAACTTTAACAGTTTTGTTAATTGAGAAAAATATACATCCATAATTCAGTTTGAAAACTAGCTGCAAGTTTTAATGAAAGCCATTAATGTTGGGCAAGACGACGCCGAAGTGTGCTCATCCATCAAATGAGAGATTTGTATAATCTATCCATTATCACAGACACTGCGATATCAATAAAACTCAATCCAAAGTAGTCAATACACCATCCAAACTAGACAATACACTATCCAAACGAGACAATCGCTCATCTTATTTCTAAGACATTTGCTAAACATTTCTAGCTCTTCATTATATCCTAACAACAAATCAGTACGCCTAAATCCCATCCGGTTTTTCAGTCCTTTAAAATTTTATGTACTATATTTTATTTTGTATTTGTCTATTACATTAAAAAACTCTATTTTTTGCATTTGTAAGTTAAATGAAAGAAAATAACTCAAAACGTTTAGGAACTAATGGTATGAACAGAGAGTTACCATTTTAAAGAATACATCTGTCGTTTCTTTTATCGTTAATTTTTTATTTACTAGCATCTCGTTCATTGTCCTTAAATAATGTGAGATTATATTAGGTTTTTGTTCACCTATTTCCGACGAAAATATACAGTACAATCAGTACTAGTACAGACAGCTGCATAATAATCAATACACTATCCAAATAAGACAATTCACTATCCAAATTTCAAATATACGAAGTTTCAGAATCTTGTATACTACCTTCAGTTTTAAAAATACAAATGCGATTCCGCATGTACTTCCGAGCATAAATGCATCCTATTAAAAAGTACGTTAAAAAAATATTTTTGAAATCCAGAACGTATACATTCGTTTTGTAATTGTATTGTAGCTGACTGTACATATTAATTTACAAGAATTCACCGGTGGCCGTTCAGATTTGTGATTATGTATTTTTATGAATACAACTCACTGTTAATTGGAAACTTGAATGTTTGAACGATGACTGAGTAATACAATAATAATAAAATACCATCGTTTCGAGATAATCAGTTACGTGTAACTTAGGAATTTATGTATTCTCTTGAAATGATTGAGGAAAATTAAAAATTAAATTTATAGTTGGCTTGAGTAAATCCTTAAGTTATTAAGATTATTTTTAAACAAAGTAATCAAAAACGATGTTTTGAGTGTGGCGGCGAGCCGAAATGCACCCCCAATGATATTTCCGCCAGTGCGTGGCAGGCCCTTCTATACCCACCAACACTAGGATAGAATAAATTGCTATAACTTTGTGGAAACATAATGTATACATTTTATATAATGTATCATCATCATCATCATCATCACTAGCTCACTATACGTCCCCACAGAGGGGCTCGGAGCCTACCCTAATAAGGAGTGACTAGGCCATAGTCAACCACGCTGGCCAAGTGCGGGTTGGTTGACTTCACACATATCTTTGAATTTCTTCGCCGATATGTGCAGGTTGCATCACGATATAATGTATACACCTGAAATAATAGTTTCACACTCACGAGAGGGACATAGTTCGGACATAGTCCGCATCAGCTTAAGTACCGCGTCAGGCCGATATCGGCCTGTTACGCAGTGAGCGTGTTAATGAATTCTACTCGTGAACGTGTCAATATATTTTTTTTTATTTTAAGACGTTATTGCCTCAAAAACTTGTAATAATAATACTTCAAAATAACGCGTTCATACTCTTGTAACTTGACTGACGTAGTCTAACTGCCACGCACACACGTTAAATGGTCACCGAGTGAAATAAAAATTAAGGGCCTGTCCCACCACTGCCTGATAGAGGCTCAGATAGTTTAAAATGACGTCACTGTCAGATAAGGGAACAAAATCCGATATTTTCATCACATTTACACGTTCGATTGTTATGAGACAATTTACAATTTGGTGGGACAGGCTCTTAGTATTTTAAATCTACAAAAAAAGTGATAGCACGAAAATTTGCAAGAAAGTATGCGTAAAATCATCGACAAAATTAACGTTTATTTTATCCAGAAATAGACAAAACTTTCTTGAATATATTAACTGGTATTATTCCAGTGTTCGAAGTCTCTATTGTCACGTAACTTTGTTACTTTATCCACCAGGGGGCGACTGACAACATTAAACTGTCCATCAAATTCTCACTAAAACTACGAAAAGTTAGGAAAATTGGCATACACGAGTTATCATAAGATATTTGCCTTTTGATGTGTTGTTTGTGACAGGGCAAGATAATGTCCTTCCAAGTTTATTATTTATGTTATTTTTTAGACTAGATGAGTTTATTCACCGGATTAGAAAACTTTTATGTAGTAGTGAAGTAGACTGTTTTGGGGTCTAGCACGAACATTTTCGAGAAATATAAAATTTAAAATTTGTACCTATTATTTTGTGCAGTGCCTAATCGGGTGTGAATTACACTAACAAATCTTATACAAACTTTGTCGATGATTTTACGCATACTTTCTTGCAAATTTTCGTGCTATCACTTTCTTTGTAGATTTAAAATACTAAGAGCCTGTCCCACCAAATTGTAAATTGTCTCATAACAATCGAACGTGTAAATGTGATGAAAATATCGGATTGTGTTCCCTCTGACAGTGACGTTATTTTAAACTATCTGAGCCTCTATCAGGCAGTGGTGGAACCGGCCCTTAATTTTTATTTCACTCGGTGACCATTTAACGTGTATGCGTGGAAGTTAGACTACGTCAGTCAATTGTTTTAAATTATATTGTAATTTTGACCCTCTTCTAATATTTTATTTTCATCATAGAAAATCGTCCTTGTCCCAAATTAAACCAGACTCATGACTTTGAATATGTAAAGTAATGAATTAACTTTGAAACCCTTTTCACTTCGTTTGACGTTAGATAAACGTATTAAAGTCGAAAGTAATGTCTTTTTAACTTACATTCTCATCATATTATTACTCTTTATAACAGATCATAAAATAAAGTTTTCTCATTATATACTTGTTTTAAACTAAACTAGTGGCCAGTGTTTTTCTATCTTTCGTTACTACTTTACCATAAGTTTTTTACCAACCTTTTTACTAACCATAAGGAAGAACAAAAATGAATCATCGATTTTTAGTCTTTGCGTTATCAATTTAACAGTAGTAACCGCTTTGATATCGCACGAATGAGCCGATTCCCATACAATACGACGACCAGAAGACAGTTGTAAAGGTCTAATGTCGGAGATCTAATTTAAATCTACATTCTTTTTCTACTTATCGTATAAAGAAAGGAAGGAAAGGTGAGGTTACTTTGTCTGTGGGGTGGGACGCATCGTTAGAGGCAATATTATGTTTCTGTGCGTTTTTTTTAAATATTAGTAGATTTTTGTTAATTTACTTATATTTCCTTTAACCTTTCCAACTAAGCTCTAGGCTTGTTTTAGGATATGGTTCACGACAATATTTGAATGAGAGTTTGAACTCTCGACCGCAAGATCGGTAGTCCGTACGTCAAACCATTAGGCTATTGGTGCTTCCTCTGTTGATTAAAGGTATCTGCAAATTCAAATTTCTATGTGCAGCGGTCGCTTCGATATTTGGGTGAATTTTGGTGGTCGCTTCCTCATTTTTCACCTTATAATACTACTAGCTGTCCCCGTGCGACTTTATGCGCATGAAGTTATGAAAATTTTATTGTTAACACTTATCAAATTATCAATACCAAATGTCAAACTGACATCACATGACAAACCTTAGCTATCTTGTCTCCTTGATGTTGGCAGCAACTTACTTTCCCACATTAGGGTTTTTATCCAAAATATTTACGACCTGAGTTTAATGGCGTAAAAATATGTAGCCTAAAGCGTGACGACGGCTTTTTATTAAAAAAAAGATTATTCGAAAATATGCCATAATTGCTGACAACTTAGGCATCAAAGAAGTGTGTGTTTACGCTTTATTATATTAGTATAGATGAAAACACTCCAATAGTTTCGCATGATCCACAGATTAAAAACCTTTAACAAAAATACATTATTAACGTTTTATTTGAATACTTGAAGACTATAAATCAATTGTGTTGTTTAGACATGAATATTGCTTCCACAGGAAACGTATATCCATAAACAAAACCAATTTATAGATACAGACTTCATAAACGGATAAGTTTCCTTCCTCAAAAAGTATTTCGCTGCGTTTGCCAAAGAGAAATATACGCTAAGTTGGTTTCTTTATCGATACTATAAATTCACTCATCATGATGTAACTGCTGAAGTTTGGATTGGGCATAAATAACGCAAATCTGTACAACACTGCTTAATATATTACTGTGCGATCGTAACTAATGCGTTTCACTAGTGATGCGCATCTAGAGATATCGATAAAATAAAATAATTTTTTTTTTGTTTGTCTTGATTATTTTTGGTAATGCCATTTCATAATATATTTGTATATTTTATTAATTGAAATGTGAATATTGTAACTAATGTTATTTTTCTCAATTGTTTCAGATTAATTAAGTCATTAAGCCTATCAAGGGTGACCAAAGCAAGATAAAAGTGCTTCCAATAAAGATGTGAAACTAAACGCATGACCCCCCGTACAGGACGCACATGATTTCTATAGCCAACTTGACGCACACATCGAATAACACATCGATAATCTACGACAATCGAATACCGAACGTATACACATACAAAAATGAAACTCACAACGAGACATCGGAACTATCTATCGATATATCGAATTCGGCATTCGAACAATCGAATACATCATTTGAGATGTCGAATGAGAATTTTACGGAGTACGCTGAAATACCATATTACATAAAAGCGACATCTATGTCATTTTGTATTGTAATTATGTGTTTGGGTGTGATTGGTAATGTTATGGTGCCGATAGTGATATTGAAAACAAAGGATATGAGGAACTCGACTAATATATTTCTAGTTAACTTGAGCATAGCCGATCTAATGGTGTTGTTGGTCTGCACCCCAACAGTCCTTGTGGAAGTCAACTCTAAGCCGGAGACTTGGGTGCTGGGAAAGGAGTTATGTAAGTATCGCTTTGAACTCTTAAATGGTAACAAGATAACTGGATTTGGTGGGAATGTGGATGTTTGGGAAAGGGGAATTTTTCTGAACGTCGACTTCTCTATATAAAAGGTAGATGATAGGTATTTTCTATTGCTTATTACGTTTTATTTCTATAGAATAAACTTGTTGTAAGATTCCTATAATTTGGAGGTCTCTTGAGCAATATTTAGAAGATCTCTAGTATTAATTTCGTTTTCAATATCGTTTAGGTTTCAACTTAATTCATTTTGAGGTATCAATGCTGTTCCGTACATCTCTATCAGCCGTCATATCAGAATTCACTCCTTTCTGCAAATCCTCTTGTACACAATCCATATTTTCTTCGGTCTTTCTCACCTTTGTAGACAACATTCATTTTTTATTTATCTAATACTTTCTTGTATATCATCTCTCCGCATAATATAACTAATAACTAAAGTGATACACGCAATTTAACATTCTCAATTTGATTCTTATTGAAATGCCAAACAAGTTTATAAACAGTTGTCCACAAAACTGCTTGGCCGACATTCTCAGTCCGCTGCGTCTCGCACAACGGCCCATTACGCCGCAATTCAGTGAGAACGGAGACAATAAGACAACCCACAACGTTGTAAAATCGTGAATATTCATGAACAGATTTGACCGTCTTTTTACCAGTCATTAGTCCTTTACTGTCCAAAACAAAATGCTAATTCTTGATCTCAATTAAATGCAGCATTGCCTTTATTCTTCACTAGCTTTCGCCTGCGACTCCATGGTCCATCCGCGCGGAATATAAAAAAACCAAAAGTGACTAAACTATGTGTCCTTCCATGGTATCCTCTACATCTTTATCAAATTTCATCGAAATCCGTTCAGGCGTTTAGGCTACAAACTCAAACAAACATCCATCTATCGAAACTTTCGCATTTATAATATTAGTACTATGATTATTTTGAGCTCCCAACAGTGGTAGACCCCACAATATTAGTTGTTGATACGCACAACCACAAAGAAAACAGGTGTCAAATGGAAGTCAGTCAGCGGTCAAACATTCAGTCTGTTAAGTGTTTACCGAGGTCTATTCCACTTACTTTTCCCAAATAATTTTTAATATGTTAAGACAACGAGAGGAGTGGTTTTGAGGTGGGAGAGTGGGTACAGAAAGTAGACATTTTATTTTATGAAAAACTCTGTTGTATTTTTCTGTACATATCTTTAGTTGTTAGTTAGTGTTACTCGTAACGTAGCTTTTTAATTGTGAAATTATTTTTGAAATCTGTGCAGTAGTTTTTTAAATATTTCAATACATACAAAAATACAAATCCTTCCTCTTTATAATATTAATATAGATTAAAATGACTTCAATAAGTCGACTGCCTTTTATACTCTTGAAATATCTGACCACCCAATATTGATATGAAAATTTCGCTTCGTCATAACATTCGTTTGTAAAATTATGTCCATAAAAGATCAAAATCGTTGACTAAATTGTCTTCACAATGAATATGGATTCTGAAAGGTTTGATATTGAAAAAAATATCGTTACAGTATGTCACAAAGTTTATGCACATTCGGATTTTTTCAATTATCATTATGTTTACTTTGATAAAATTTTATAACGTAAGTTTCAATAATTAAAAATGGAAAGAATCCATTTATTACTATCGTATGCGATGTAAAAGCAAATACCGTTAATGGATTTAATTAATCTTATATGACCTAAACTTAAGTTAAAGCCAAACCATACTTCATATTAATATTATAAATGCGAAAGTTTAGATGGAAGTTTGTTAACGTTTGTAGCCTAAACAGCTGAACAGATCTCGATATAATTTGGCTTAGACGTAGAGGATAATCTGAAAGAACACATAAGCCACTCACTTTTTTCTTTTTTTAATTTAATGCTATCATACTAATATTATAAATGCGAAAGTTTAGATAGATGGATGTTAGTAACTGCTCAACGGATCTCAATGAAATTTGGCACAGATGTAGAGGATAATCTGGAAGAACACAGGGTACTTACTTTTGTCTTTTAATTCCACGCGGACGAAGTCGCGGGTGAAAGCTAGTAATGTTATAAATGCGAAATATTGGATGGATGTTTGTTAGAGTTTGTAGCCTAAACTGCTGAATGGATCTCAATGTAATTTGGCATAGATGTAGAAAGTAGTCTAGAAGAAACATGGGCTACTTACTTTTTTATGTAATAACTCTAACACTGGGCGAATTTTAAAAATTCTTTCACCATTAAAAAACTACGTCATTGAGTGACATAGGGTATGATTATTACCATTTTTCTAATTCCGTAGTAATATAAAAAAATAAATGCTTGTGAATAATTTTGGCAAGACCGTTTATTATAACTGCAATACATTACCAGCGGACAGGTTTAATTTAGGAAACATCTGGCGTTTTAGACATCAATTGTTTTGGCACTAAACTAACGAGATAGGATGACATAGTTGTATGTGGGCTAAGACATTCAAAGCTTATATAGACCAGGCATAGTGAACAAAGATATTTAGTGGTACTTTCTCTGAAATGTACATCAGTTGTGAAATTTAGTGTCGTGTTCGTGTATTATGTAGTAAAATATTTTACAAAATTATAATAAGCTCTATTTTTTATTATAAAATAAACTAAACATTGTCCCAAAAAATGTAAACATTTAAATAATATTTAATGACACCTATTGACAATTAATTAATTATATTGACATGTGATTTTGAGATTATAAATAGATAGCTTTAGTGATTACTATGTGGAAAATGTCCCAAGTGAAGTGTCAATGCCCACTCTATATCTTTTTGAATCTCTGTGTTGGTTGAACATACGGGCGATGTGTTAGAAATTGTTTCTTTAATGTTGATTTTGATAGAACATAAACCCGTAAACTATGAATTACTCAAGTTTAAGTCCAAATTTTGACATTTACTTTTAGATAGACTTTAGATAACGATAACAATCGTTTAGTTTAACAAGAATGATTTTTTTTAAATTATGAAATCTTTTTAAATCATATTTTTTTATTGTTTTTTTTTTAAAACACATTCGTTGATAAATGTAACAAATGAAATTATACAAAATTTAAAACATAAATTCGTTTTAAAAATTGCAATTTCAACTTTCATTCTAACTAATCTGTTTTGAAATTAACTCTAGCAGTGCCTTTAGTGTCCATCGGTGGCACATGTTGGCTGTATTAAACGACCTACGCCAATACCAGAAGCATGCGTTTAACAACGACCTTATCATAATACAATAAAGTTCAAATTCCTTTAAACAAGTTTCGGTAATAAAACTGCACTCGGACTCGGAACCACAGCTCGTCCTAATTAAGTGCAATAAAGTAAACGTTCGGTGAATTTTTCCTCACGACTGTACAATACTTTTAGATGTTTGTCTGTTATTGGATTTAATACTTTATTAACAAGCAATAAGGTTGTATTTTAAATGTTATGTAGTAATAAATTTTGGAGTACTTAAATGTTGATTGTTGAGTTTATAATAAACTTTCAGCGAATGTGCATTTGATGATCGTTTTGCGAATTTTGAGCTTTTATATTATTTTGTAACATTATGAGGCAATACCCTTAGTGTTTTGCGATCGAAATCATCTGGATTTATAATTTTTAACGATTTAAAAAAAAAACTACTTACGCCGCTGTAAAAAACAACACAATCAGTTTAAAATTAAACATGCTTATTTTATGTTAACTGGAATGCATACATTTTTATGTCCTTTAGTATTTTTAGTCCCTTTCCCCTTCCACTCTTTTCTTAAGAGGAACGGATGGTAAGGAAAAGTGGATTTGACGGTGGAGGAGATGCATAGGAAGGGAAAATTACCTCTTTATGTGCGTCTCCTTCTCCGTCAATTAAGGGTAGGCAACACATCTGCAATTGCGGATGTTTATGGGCAGCGGTCGCTTTCCATTTCGGTGGATTCAGGTGGCCGCTTGCTCGCTTGTCATCTTGTATTATAAAAAAAGTTACTTTCATACCAGTTGAGTTCAAATTAAAGAAACTTTCAATTGTTTTATAGATTAGAACAAAAAAAACAAGCAGAATTTACGAAAACAGCGAAGCGATCGCTGCCCATAGACATTCTCGAAAGCAAAATCCTTTACCTACCGTAACAGAGGACGCACAGTAACCAAATATTTCCCCTACCTATACGTCTGTCCTTCGCACACCACAGTTCTTATAATCAATGGAAACTCCTTTACTGTTATGCTGAATGTTATCAAATAACAACAAGTGGTTGTAACAATTATCTTAACTTTAGTGAACATCAAAACATTATAGCTCTCAGTCACGGCATTTTGACGTAAGTGAAACATATTCATACAAATGTAATAGACTTTTACATCTCGACTTTGACTATAGAAGAAAGGACTAGGCATAGAGCCACCGTTGTAAAAAATACTGTCAACTTTACTGATGAAATAAAAATCACACACATGCAAATTATGATAATAAATTGTAGTGACTGACTAATAAAACATACACAAAACAATACAAATTAGTTTGTGTTGAACCTTTTGTTTTATTTATCTGACGGTTACGAATAGATAATGACCACTATCAGTTTGGAAAGCGAAAAAAATGCAACGCTTGACAGGTCCTGTCATTAAAAGTCAAAGTAACGCAACCTTAATAATACTGTTGTGTGATAGACTATAGTATGATGTAGGGGTTACGTAAACACTACCATTATGTCTATACTATTCTGCTTTTTAATTCTATTTTATTAGGTTTATAGACGTTTTTGTCGTTTTCCCGTATCGATTATGTAATAAAAAGGTCAAAAACTTTCACCTGAACAGTACTAGATATATTTAAAACAACCTTCGATTTATCTTAACAATAAATTGTACCCGTATTTCTATTTATCTGTTGTCGAAGTTTATTTTTTTTCTACCAAATAGACGTTTTTGGCAACTGATTTATGGCGTTGAGATAGAAAGGTATTGGTCTGTCAATTATTTTGTCCGAAAGGCGAAAACATCTTGCGGCGTTTGGACAAGATAGTGTTTTGTTTCAGCGATGATTTTTTTGTTATTTTTATCTTAAAGCCTTTGATTTACTGGCCGTTTTACGAAGCAAAATTTTACTTCAACAAAAAAATAAAATCGGAGCAGTTATTGCGAATATTCTTGAGATCGTTTTCGTAACGTCATCGATAAAATTTGTAGAAGATTTGTGTCCTACCGAGCGTAAAGTACTAACCAAGTACCAACAAATCTCATAAATGTTCGATGACGTCACGAATACGTTCTCGTAATTCTTACGCCAATATTCTTGATAGCCTTCTAGTTAATTTTGATTATATCCAATTTTATTATTTTTCTTTCACCATTAAAAGCTACGTCAACAATAAGTAACAGTCTATTTTTTATTATTTTTAATTTCACGAGGGAGTCGCGAGCATCAGCTAGTCCATGATATAACGCAATTTCCTTCATGTTTAGCAACAAATTCTATTACGTTAAAAGCCATCACGTACGGCTTGTCACATAACTCAATTACAAGCATGTAACATATTCACGTATACGTAATAACAATGTAAATCTATCGATAGCAGTAATTAATTAAACACAAAGCAATTCGTATTCAATGTTGATTACTATATAACAATAGTAACAATTGCTTTATTAAATTCCCAATTACGTATCGTTAACATAAATTACAACGCGTAATTTATTACTACAGTAGAACCTCGATAACCTCGGTAACTTACAAATCTCTATAAGTATAAAAAATAATATGTTCCCTTCCCATTAGAGCCTAAAACCTCTACAACATAGACCCTTGATGACTTAAAACCTCTATAACTTAAAATATTTCGTGTTTCCCTTGGACTTTAACTTATCGAAGTTCTACTGCATATATGGGTTTTGACTTGACTTTGTTCGCAGTATTAAGAAAAAGCTACGTATCCCTCGGGAACCTGACATTTTAGGATAGTTTCTCTACCTTTACTGTTTTTGGAACTTTTTTCACTATCTTTAAACTTCATATTTTTTCAATATCTATACTAATATTATAAAGAGGAAAGGTTTATATTTTTGTTCGTATTGATGTAACTTAAAAACTGCTGGGCAGAATTAAAAAAAACTTTCACCATTAAAAAGCTACATTATCAGAGAGTATCATACGCTAATATATTAGGTCGAAGTTGCGAGCAACAGCTATCTTTAAGTTATTCAAGTCATCTAATTTTTTAAATTCCACAGGTCTGGCGGTACCATTTGTGGAGCTGACGGTCGCCCATGCGTCTGTGCTGACCATCCTTGCAATCAGCTTCGAGAGATACTACGCCATCTGTGAGCCGTTGCGTGCGGGATACGTTTGCACGAAAACCAGAGCCACCCTCATCTGTGCATTGGCCTGGTTCTTCGCTGCTCTCTTCACCAGGTATATATTAATTATTATTTTTTATGTTGTTTGCTAATAGACTGATAAGTGTTTTTTTTTGTTTATTTATTTAATGACTAGCTGTCTCCGTGCGGCTTCATACGCATGAAATTATGAAAATTTTATTTTATTGTTCACATTTGTCAAATTATCAATTGCAAATGTTAAAATGACATGACATTATGGCAAACCATGGCAAATTTCCTTTCTTGATGTTGGTAGCTTGTAGTTTGTGGTCCCTTTCCCACATTAGGGTTTTTATCCAATGTTAACTTACTAAGTTTAATAGCGTGAAAATATATAGCCTAAAGCGTGACGTAAGTGTAGGGCTTTTCATTAAAGAAATATTTATTTAAATATATACGAGGGTGAATCAAAAAGTTCTTAGAAGTGCATATATATGAAACCTTTTTGGATCAAGTTCGATGTTTTTGTCAGTTTGTTCGCATGTAATAAATTTTTTTGTGCAACGAGTTGCTAAAAAGTTAAAATTATGGATAAAAGTACTCGTACTGTGACTGCTGACATCTTACGCCACAACGTAGTGTGTATTTCCGCTTTATTATATTAGTATAGATGTATTTGTTTGACCTTTGACTCAATTCTAGATTGTTAACAAACTTAAGTCCTTTGAAATCCTTATTTTCAGTCAGTAGGCTCTGCCATTTTGTTTGCTTTGTCATTTATTATAGGAACAATGCCTCTATCTATGTTAGTTCTTGGCATATCCAAAAATTCAAGCTTTACAAACATGTCGTAATTTATAAAACACTAGCTGTTCCCGTGCGGGCTTCACCCGCATGAAATTATGAAAATTTTATTGTTTACATTTGTCAAATTCTCAATTACAAATGTCAAAATGACAAGACATGACAATCCTTAGCAATCTCTCTTTCTTGATGTTGGCAACAACTTATGGTCTCTTTCCCACATTAGGGTTTTTATCTAAAATATTAACCCCCTAAGTTTAATGGCGGGAAAACCTAAAGCGTGACGTAAGTGTAGGGCTAATTATTAAAAAAAAGAATTATTCAAAAATATGCTGTAATTGCTGACATCTTAGGCAACAAAGTATTGTGTGTTTACGCTTTATTATAATAGTATAGATAGATAGTTTTGCTTTCATTATTATTAAATTTTGCATAGATGCCTAAATTACCATTGCTCTCTAGATTTGCTTGCATTAAATATTTTAGCCAACTGTCAGTTTAGGAAAGCTTTGCTCAAATTATGTTATTCTCCTATCAACTGGCCTTAATCTAAACTAGAGCTTGTTATAAAATTTTAAGCTTTGCTATGCCATACAGGGTAGCATTTCATTAGTACCTTTTTATTGTTTGTTTTATGAAAAAAGTGTTATTTTTAATGATAATAGTTTGTAAAATGCAACTAACAATTGCCCCCACATCTGCGAGATCCATAAACCAACAATTCCCATTTGTAAGTAATAAATTCCCGCGACGGAATTAGGGGAAATTCTTGTAGAGTACAAATTGTAGGGGAAACTTTGTAAGCTAAGTTAACAACTAAGTTAGTCTTTAGGGAAGTTTAGTAAGTTATTTATTTGTACTTTATAGCTGATGTGTTTCAAATAAGTTACTAGCGAAGGCTTAGATTAAAAAAAACCCTTGTTGAATTTTATACTAATGTAGAACAGTCAGCTACATAAACATGTATACGTTTAGAAGGTTCCAAAAACTTTTATAAGCCCCAGTCCCATAATGCATTATACAAAATAACTAAATCATATAAGTATAAACAATCATACAAAAAATAATAAAAAACAATAAAGAGTTCACATTTACAAATTATTATAAGGCCTACACATATTTTCAGCTGACTGTACATCAAAATTTGCCGAAAACTCGACCACAATAACAAAGTATCTGAATGTAATGATGTCATCGAATGTTACATATAACAAATTTACGTCACACTCTGACGTTAAATTTCTTAATACTTTTAATCGTAGAATAGTGATTTATTTTAATTTGTACCACTGCAATTTTAATTTTAGATTTTTGTAGTACTTTTAGTAGCACTTTTTATCAAAACTCGTGGCTGAATTATTTTAAATCATATAGCATTTATTAATGACTACATCCGCATGCAATTATAAAAAAAAATATTTTATTGTTTACATTTGTCAAATTATCAATAGCAAATGTCAAAATGACATGACATGACAACCTTGGCAATGTTGCTTCCTTGATGTTGGCAACAACTTATTGTCTCTTTCCCACATTCGAGTCTTTATCCAATTTATTTACATCCTGAGTTTAATAGCGTGAAAATATATAGCCTGAAGCATGGCGTAAGTGTAGGACTTTTTATTAAAAGGAGGATTATTCAAAAATATGCTGTAATTGCTGACATCTTAGGCAACAAAGAAGTGTGTGTTTACGCTTTATTATAATAGTATAGATAGCAGAATCAATAAATTATTTTCATCTTCAAATTCCAACAATAAAATAATCCAAGTATTTGTTCAAGTAGTTCTAAAAAATAAAATCCAACTTCTATTCTATTATAAACTTTATGATTCAGAGCATTGTGATCATTATCGCTTGACATTTATGGTGTTACAGAACTCTAATCATAAGATAACCAGTAAAATTTATTGGCACAATAATTCTTATAACAAATTCTGCTGTTTCTTTTAAAGCGGGCACACTTGTGACTAAACTATCGCACAACCGTTGTGCGATTGTCGTTTGTTTCGCAGCAAATTCAACTGTTTAGTTGCACAACTAAAAATCAAGTAGTGTTGATGTGCCACGGGTCCGAACGAAGCGATTCGAGACATCGTTTCTCGTGCGCACATTAAAGGAATGGAACAAGTTTTTAACAGTGGTAGAGCCCGCTTTAACATCTTCGCACGAATGGGCCGACTCGCCCGGTGTAATACCACGACCACGCAGAAAATAGGCGTGAAGGCCGGAGGCCTAATTTTAGTCCCTTTTCCTTTCCATCCTTTTCTTAAGAGGAAAGGATGGGAGGAAAAAGTGGATTGGACGGTGAAGGAGATGCATAGGAAGGGGAAACGTCCTCTTTATGTGCGTCTCCTCCTCCGTCAATTAGGGTAGGCAACGCATCTACAATAGCGGATGTTTATGGGCAGCAGTCGCTTTCCATTTCTATGGATTCAGGTCATGCTTGCTCGTTTGCCACCTCGTATTATAAAAAAAAAACAAGTTGCCGTCCTCAGGGTTCCCGTCCAGTTATAACGTAGGTCTGGTTGGTGGTGGGCCTTCAAGAGCAAGGTGAATCGGCAGTTATTGAGCTAGCGCGCTATCCTTCGGCCGCGTCTTCACTTAGGTTAGGCGGAGTCGTGGTCAAGCGCTGGTTTATTTATGTTAAAAAAGTGTGTGTAAAAGCTCATAGGAATCTAAGTGCGACTAAACAGTTGTGCGATAGTTTAGTCAAGGTGTGTGCGCGCTCTTGGCTTATTTTGCTTTTCTAATTTACGTTCAAAGTTTCGAGTTATAAAGATATATTTATATTTTACTAGGATTTTATTATTCCGAGAGATTGAATTTTACATTTGAATATTTCATATCGGCGTAAAAATATTTTTTAAGATCTAATCCATTTGCGTAATCTAAGTGATTTCTACAAACCTAAGTATATCTCATTATCTACATTCACTTTTACTTAGCTCTTAAAAGTTTATAGTTTTACCCAAACAAATATTTGTCTGATTTTCTTTTAAATAAAAACACAAATTGGTTTTTATTAAATTGAAAAAAAAAATATTTTCCGCATGTAAATAATTTTATCGCAATCTGAAAATAACCAACCTCCGCATTTTCAATAAATTCAGACGAGAGCTTTCCTCTTAGCTTTCAATAAGCTCTTGACAATTGAATCAAAAAGTCCGTATTAAAAAGATGGACGGCTACCATTTGTGATTGGACGAAAGTGGTGTCATTTTCTCTTACTATGTTACTTTCTTATAGCCACCTACTGACATTTCTAGGATATATTAAAAAGGAATAATACTCTAATACTGTACTTTGTTGATCCATGAAAAGCATTTAGCATACTAGCTTTTGCCCGTGACTCGGTTCGTACTAAATTAAAAAAAAACGTAATAAGTATGTGAACTTATATCTGTTCTACAACTGTGTCAAATTTAATAGAGATCTGTTGAGTCTTTCCGGAGGTATGTAGTTATAATAACCAATATCCATTTAAACTTTTGCATTAGTAATATTAATAAGACTGTACATGACTACGTATTGTACAACTAAACTTTGGCTGCGAAACGATCGACAATCGTACAACAGTTGTCCGATAGTTTGCCAAAAGGTGTACAGCCCGTTCTTAATATCTAAAAATTGCCAATTTTACTTCTCTCTTCAATCGTTTAGGTATCAATGGCTGTCTATTTACTTAGCCACAGAAATCAACACTTGGCTCTGGACCAAGCACGCCCTTGTTTAGCCAACGAATTGCCAATAAAACGAATTATCCACAAAAATGGGCCAACAATCGTTTCATACGGTTCACCGGATCTGCGAACCGCGCTATAAATTTGATTGGTATCGTTAGACAAAGTTACTGCCGAATGTTGCCGCAAATAAATATAAGTACAACGGTAATACAAACAAATAAAATATACGATAATTCCTTAAACCCTTTTTTTCACTAGCCACGACATGCTTGTCGTGTGACTATGAGTAATAATTTTTCACTGCCGCGTCTTTCTATATGCACAGTGATAAAAGCACGATTTCAAAAGCGGTCTAACCACACTGTTTAAATGGTTAGTAAAGCAGTTCCTTAGTGTAGATTTAGAATTCTAAATTTTCACTAAAAACGCCCTTAGTGTGGCCATAATCATGTGGTAGAATATTGGTTAGTACTGGTAATATTCTTTTAGTTAAATAAAAAAATGTGTAATATTTTGTAACGAATTCATTTTCACCATAAGTAAATTAAAATTTACGTAAACCTATACGCAAATTTAATTGAAATTTTATAATTTAACAATACTA